TCGTCTGAGAACAATACGGTCTTCCAATAGTCCAGACGCTTGATCATCATATAACTTGCCCACTTCTTTCGTCTGACTATGTTGGCAGGTATTAATAAGGGCTTCCGTCTAGCTGCTCTGCAACGATAACCCATTTTGTGAAGAATTTGCTGTACAGATTTCGGGCTCATCCCACCAACTTTGGCCACTTCTGCAGTCGTTAATCTGGGATCCATTTCGATGCTCCTCTTGACAGCCCTTTTTGTCCTCTCCGATGGACCAGGACGACCCGGAGGCTGCTCAGTTGTTTCCTTGCCGTGTTTCCTGAACTGCACGATGATTTTGTTGACTGTCGAAAGCGGGATTCCCAAATTCTGCGAAATTTGCCGCTGACTTATTCCACCATCTGCTTGACCAAATATCCTTCCTTTAACAAAATCTGACAATTCGAGAGAACCTTGAGTTCTAGGCATGTTGTAACACAAGATAATTAGTGTGCGGACTATTTTCATTTATATAGTGCTCTGTGAACACAAATTAGTTAGCATAAATCAGTTAAATGACGAAAAATTAGGTGTCTATTTACTTGTGACCACTCAGTGTATATGCGAATTCATATTTTCTTCTCATATCAAGCCTGACGTGAACTGGTGTTCAGAGCGCTCAAGTCGCAATCATCCGGTTGCGGGTTTGAATCCTGTCACCGAATATGACTGTGGCGAAATTATAGTGTAATGGTCAATCCTACTTTTTGAACTTAAAGAGCAGTTCAAGAGTTCGCTGTGGGTGGTGTTTACTAGGCGTCTAGCACAGGTAGCCCTCGAGTAGCTTTGCGCGAAATTTAACAAAACAAAGTCGATATATCAAAGTGTTTGACTTTTCTCAATTGACAGACGACCATGTGTCAGGTTTAGCAAAATTTACTAACAGCAATGTTTCTTTAACTTGCAAACCAAATTCTTTTTTTTTTTCGAAAGTTTTCGTCTCTAAATTGTTCGTAATTTAACAATAAGTAATATAGTTTAGCTCATTCTACTCTTTAAGCTATATATATATTAAGATGTACGGAGCTGGTTTTTTTCCAACCTAAAAACCTGGATTATTGAAATAAGGCTGTATTTTAGTCAAAGCATAGAAAATTTCGATATTTTAAAGGTACTATTTTTATTTACTAAATTACTCCCGTCACGTCCTTATTGTGCTTAGATCATCAACGTTGCACCATGTACATAATACACCCAACAATAAACGTTTCCTGTGTTTATTTCTTTGTTTGTTATTAAGCACAAAGTTACATAATGGGATATCAATGCTGTGTATACTGCGAGTATCCAAACTCTTCTTGAGCGTTGAAAGCTCGCAGACTTACAGAGGGCGAACGCAATATGAAACAATCTAACGGTAGATGTTATATACGGTTATTTGTTAATTAGGTTTTGTATAAGGAGTTTTAAGATAATATTTAACCATCTCCAGACGGGTCACGAGTCAAAGGTCATGTCATCGTGTTTGGTGACTCGCATTCAAAATTGAATTGAACTACTATTTATGTCAGTAAGTTTGGTATCAAACTGTAGATTATAATTCAAATTTTAGTATTATACATTATTTAATTTCTTAATGCAGTTTTACTTTTGTAAATTTATTACATTTACTTTACGCCTATTTTCTTTTAGCATTCATAGAGATTGTGAGCAGATTTCTACACATAACATAAACCAAACATAGTTTGTCATTGCTATGTCACACTCACCATTTCTTGTAATTTATGTGATAAATCTTCCAACACGTATGTAAAGTTATTTCTCAATTTCAACCTGCACAGTACATTACAAGGCACAATGACTAAATGTTCAGATCAGAAATCCCAAGGCATAGCCGTCCATAATTTAAAACTGTTGACCAGAGGTAGAACAACTAGTCAATAGTACTCGCTGCATACACCGTTACTCATATTTATAACGTTTCCACAGCTGAAAATGTGGAGCGTGTTCAACGACATATCGCAGGCTCGATTGTTTGTTTGTAGTTAATCACAAAGATACATAACGGGCTATCTGTGCTGTGCCTACCACGGGTATCGAAACGCGGTTTCTAGCGTTATACGTCCGGAGACTTACCGCTGTACCACAAAGGGTTGTCACGGGTTCGAGCCATGAACTTTTTGATCTGCGACCTGGCACACTAACCATTAGGCCAAGCCAAATTCGGCCTAGGGTTTTAAAGCTGGATTTTATCAAGGGTTTTAGAGTTTTTCTTTGCGATCTTCTTTTACACAGAAAATTTAAGGCAAAATACAGTAAAACAGTTCAGTTTTTTGTAAAATACAGAGGAATATCAGCAAATGTTAATAATATTGGAAACAAATATAATATTTTTATAAATATATTGCAAAGACTGTGAAGGGAAAATGCCAGCAAATGTTGATGATATATAAGTTAAATAACTATTGGAAACAAATATAATATTGTTATAAATATATTGCAAAGACTGTGAAGGGAAAATGACAGCAAATGTTAATGATATATAGGTTAAATAAGTATTGGAAACAAATATAATATTGTTATAAATATATTACAAAGATTGTGAAGGGAAAATGACAGCAAATGTTAATGATATATAAGTTAAATAAGTATTGGAAACAAATATAATATTGTTATAAATATATTACAAAGATTGTGAAGGGAAAATGATGTAATTTGTAGCCAGTCTAAAAACATTGAACAATGACTGTATGTTTATACACATATTATATCCAATATTCTAAGAGTATGATATGTGATAAAAATTGCCCCTTTCTTGGAAAGTATGAAAAGTACAAATGAAAGTCAATATTGACTTCTTGTACGAAAATGTGCTTCCCCTTCTCACTGCACTATTTATTTTTGGTGCAAGTGTTCAGCTTAAAACACTTTCTAAAGTAGTAGGCCTAACACCAAGTCGGTTAGTTCGCTTAACACGGTCTTGAAGTTTATTACATCACATGTGCGAGTACATTACCCTCACATATCAATTGCCTTCCACGGAAACCAGGCCGTATCGTGCGAGTTGTGCAAGCGGACAAGATGTCTGCGAACGACAATAAAGAAACCAACTAACAACTGTTCCATCACTCATCGCAGACACGCTTCTTAAAGCATCTGAGCGCTAGCGTTTTATGATTTTTCCAAACACATTCACAGTCAATATTATACAATATAAAAACGAACAGAAGTGTTTCTTTCTAGAGTATATCATTCTTAGTTTTAAAATTCTCCACTACGGCTAATTGTAGTGGAAATATAGAACTAACACAGTATAATATATGCGTTCCCCCGTAAATTTTGTTCTATGTTAAAGATATAACTATTTTTTCGCCTAAAACAACAGGAAAAATTAGCATATGTAAACAGACGCTTAGTACGTCCATTTGTTTTATTTTCTAAACTCATAGTTGAATGCTATAATTCTTAGATTTTATAACAACATGAATTCTATTTTAATTAAAAGTGGACAGCATGTTTATTACATTATTTCTAGTTTACATCATATTGGAAATGCTTATCACTTATTGTAATGATTTAAAAATATTTTTATCAGATATCCGATAAAATTACTGACATAATTATCCCACGATTTTTGGCCCAATAAAAAAAAATTCTAACTATTTCAATGTCAGTGAAACCATGTAAATCTGACTTTTCAACTAAAAAATACACTAAAATGTAGTCACATATATAAGTTTGTTTTATTTTGCACCAGTGTACAAGAACAACTTTTGATGTGTATGAGTTTGTGTTTTACTTAATTCACATCAAAATAGAACTATATTTTAATACATGCGTTTTTCAAATACAGTAGCAAAACTTTTGCCCCTACATATATTATGAAAATCTTTATGTTCGCTTTTTTTTTAGATATATACAGATTGGGCGAACCAATACTTAGAAAGAGGACGCTTCAAACGCCACATTCAAGATCTCCAGACTGACGTCAGCGATGGTGTCCTGTTAGCTGACGTCATTGAAGCTGTCAGTAAGTAAGATTTAAAACACTCTTTCCTTTTCTTAACAAATATTTCTTTCATCTTTCTTAGTTTTGATATATTCCAATTGTTATTTGTATTTTATTGTCGTTTCCATTTATCTGAATCTTATTGTTTTTCTTTTTGTTGACTGGCTCGATTCCCATAATTTTTGTATGATAATGATGTAAAAAGGCTATTTTGTTTTAGGATTTTTGCCAGAAAATGGGGATAATAGGGCACATTTACACTTTTTTTTACAGACTTTTGTCTCTGAATTTAAAGGCATAAGTACTTAATCAGTTAAATGATACCGTTATTACCTTTCACAAAGCAGTGTACACAATTAACATTTAATGAGATCATTAACAATTTAATAATAAAAGAAATAAGAAAGGGTAACACTGTTTAATATCGTCCCTAATACAGTTTTTGTTTCCTTAACGGTTGCCCCCCAGTGGCACAGCGGTATGTCTGCGGACTTACAACGCTAGAATCCGGGTTTCGATACCCGTGGTGGGCAGAGCACAGATAGCCCATTGTGTAGCTTTGTGCTTAATTACAAACAAACAAACCTTAACGGTTACTCTCAGCTAATAACATTTTACCTAAGAAATAATTAACTGCATTCAGTTTTAATGATTTCGTATAAAAGGAAAAGACCTAACCTAAAAATAACAAATATTTTTGTGAGATTAAAAATTAGCTTTGGCTGCCTTTCTATATAACCAAGACAGTTTTTAAACGTTAGTCTTGTTTATCTATTGGCTTCGTTGTTGTTACAATTTTGTGGAATTGAAAAAAACTGATTCTTTATTACTCCCTTTTTATTGGAACTAGGACTAACGGCAACATGATTATAGAAAAGGAGCTAAGTTCCCCAATTTTTCCTGTTTACCTTAACCACACCTTTAACATTGCACATTACGGAGTTGTCCCAATTTATATGACTTGGCTCTTTCCTTTGATATCACGTCCTTATATAGCTCACTCCATACTTCCAACTTGGCTGATTTTGAACTTATAACGTGTTTTGATCAGATATTTTTACACTTTGTTTTGATTGTTATTTTAATATTACTTAAAGATAAGAGTCCACTCGAAATGGGGTTTGAATCTTAACTATCAAGAACAGCTATAAAAACAGATGCAACATATTAGACCACTTCTATCTATCTATCTATCTATCTATCTAAGCTGCAGTAATCCCTCGTTGGATGTAGCTCTCGGTCAGACCAGTCCAGTATTTCCTATTCTTAGCATACTGTATCCATCTGATTCTTGCTTCCGCCACTATATCGTCCCTCCATCTTCTCTTTTGCCTTCCCTTAGATCTTTTCCCTGTCCTAGGTTGTCATTCCATAGTTCTTAATGTCCCCCTATTATTGGAATACCTTGCTACATGGCCAGCCCATTTCCAGTTACTACTTAGAATGTACCTTACTTCACCATTTCCTTATTTTAGATTTCCCACTTGCCTTCAGGCTCTTAATTCATCAGTTTTAACATAGTTGTTGTTGAGAGTAACCCAACATTAAAATTATCAAAGCAATTTTCATAAAACATATTAATACATGTGCTACAATTGGCAAACCCTAGTACAGATTAGCGAAATTTTGTTTCATGCCCTTTCTTCATTGTAAACGTAAACTGTTTAGCCGCAATACTCTAGATGCTGTGAAACAGTTCAGTTATCAAACAAAGTATATGGTTATAAGATCTGTTATAAATTTGTAAAATGAGTAAAATCATGGAAGGAAATTAAGACTCTTTTTCATATAGAGCATTTTCCACATATTAATGATTTTTATCACCGTGACTTTATCTAGCGTCATTGCAGTAATTCGAAATATGCACTAATATTGCTTAACAGTTCTAAATTACCCGAAGTAGTTTCCTCACTAACCATACACACACTCATACTTCACGATCGTTCGATATTTATGGATACCTTCATACATTAGCACCCGAAGCGTCTCCCACTTTCCTTTGATCGTTACTCCTTCTTAGTGATACATTGATGCCGGAGGGAAAGGCAACATTAAGGCGTGAATCATGCTCTTAATAGCACTATGTTTATCCTGTTTGCTTAATTTTGGACAAGAACCTTAAGCTTGTATGGGCTCACGACTCACGTCAGCACCACATGGTAAGCAATCGTTCAACATTCCATTAAACACACAGCTAATATAAACATGTAGCTATTTATAATACTTAAATTGCAGCATTGGATTAAGGATAGAATTTGGGGCTATCATATATCTTTTTCTATTTAAATTAGAACCCAAAGTAAGATTAATGTGAATGAGATAACGCCAATGGTTGTGTTTGTTTGATAAGTTCCATTATATTTCACATTGGTAGATGTTCCCTCTGGTGTTATCTTAGTGAAAGAAAATAAATAAATACTTCTTGGTAATGGCAAATATTATAGCTTATCTGCCTGAGAAACTTAAGCTTTTGATCAATTCAAAGGTAAATTATACAAGAGAAAACATGTTTAATTCAATCCCTTTGTGATTTGTATTATTTACAAAATGTATTTACTTATAAACTACTTGTGATCTTTTAAAGCTGTTTAAACATTAAGAAGTGGCCGGTTATTGTTGTTTTTACTTTTGAAAAGCAAAAGAATTATAATTTAGAAAAATAAATAAGCGCTTTTCTGGCTAATTAGTAGAGAAAAACTAAAAACATTTTTGATCATGCGTACAAGTGTGCAGTTATTTATATGAAAACTGTGATCATAGGTGAAATGACATGAAAAATAATTTACTTTAATGAGAAACTTTAATACATTTAAGTGCATAACTAGGAACTGTCATTAAAGTCTGGCATACACATACATAAATTCTACCTGACATCATAAATGATTGTGTTAAAAACAAGAAAACATCATGTATTCTGAGTCAGTTAATGAGTTGATGTAATGTTGTAATTGATTCGAAAGTGTCAGAAAATAATATCTTTATCTTATACGGCATAATAATATTTAATGGTTTCCAAGTATTTGATGTTACATGGACATCGTATTAATATTTGATTTTTATTTATTTTTTGTAGCTTCAAAATTTTAGCGAACAAAACCTCTCCTCAAATAGCGAAATTAATATATAATTTTAATTCTGTTATAGCTGGTTCTAAGGTGTTGGAAGTTACCCGGAAGCCAAAAACGTCAGCTCAAATGGTAACTTTTCTTCCTGTATTATGTATATGCAATTTAATATATATATTTGTGACATAAAATAATTTGTTTTCTCTAGCTCTGAGAAGACATAAATATTGGAAACTATAAATTAGAAAAATGTTCGGAATGATTATGGGAGCCCAACATAAGACTAATAGTTTCATTCATGTTGTTTACTATTATTAAATATTTTAATAATTACTCGAAAAACGTAATTTTACAACAATATATTTCAGTGGTTTTTTACTCTATATTGTATGAATTTTCAGCTTATGTTATACATTTTATTATCTACTATTGGGAGTACCAGTCCACTGGACAGAAGTTATGTAAATTCACGATTAATGAAAGATTATCTTAGGACCTGAAAAGTTGCTTCCCTTGTAAAAAACGCCCATAAAAACTGCAAAACACAAATCCGTTAATTTGTATGTATCTCCACATAGACCCAATGAACCTCCATACCAAATTTATGAAGATCCGTCTACTGGGGGCAAAGTAGTGGTAAAAAAGTCCATAAAAACCTCAAAACGTAATATGCAAAACTGAACATTTGTATGTCTCTCCATGGACACAATGAACCTCCATACCAAATTTGGTGAAGGTCCATTAAGAAGAGGTGAGGTAGTGGCAAAAAAAAACACACAAAAAAACATAAAAACCGCTAAACGCAAAATGCAAAGCTGAAAATCTGTATGTACTCCCTCATGGACCTAATGAATCTCATTTACACCCTGTGAAGTAGTTATATGGACATACTACAGGCAGTACTGTTATATTTATATAGATATCAGCATTGATTACTTTCCACCCACCTTAAATCTTCCCAAGCTGTACTATATAATAGATCTAATTTATAAAGTGTGGCTTGACAAAAACAAAACAAATATGCATATATTATAAGCGCATCATCTTTATATGTGTGTGTGTGTGTAAATATACATGCATGTATGTATTAGAAAATAGTTCAAAAAGATATACATTTTGATATTCGACATGTTTTTACTTTTTATAATAGTTATATGTCTTATTGTTTCTTTTGAACATTACGTACTTAAGCTATTTCTATGTATTTACGTCTCAAGGCGGACGTCATATGTAGATAATATTTCAGCTGTCACTTTTCAGACCATGTGTTCACCACCAGGATTAGAAGAGAGACGTGTGTGAGGGAAAGTTGACACTTCAGTCTATAGTGCTGGTTGTTATTACATACATAATATTATTTATTTATTTAGACATAAAGTTAGTTATCATCACTGTCAATCATATAAATAAGCTTAACTCAAAAAATATTGAAAAATCGAGCACGTTATATGCACATATATATATATATGTGTGTGTGTGTGTGTGTGTATCTATATAAGGCTGATAAATGTTGTTCCTTTTCTCTTGCTTGGTTCAGTATTTATATAAAATGTCAATAAAAATTAATTACAAGTTATGTTCACATTACATTGTACAAATAATTTTATCTACAGGTATTTCTCGGTTTACGTTTTTACCCTATAAAGTCATTAGCTTTTATGAACATGTTTTTTTGACTTGTGTTCTCATTTTTCGCTATAACGAAAACTTACGTAAAAGTCGTAAGATCGCCAGTAACCGCCATAGCCTCTCCCGCCTCCCGTCACCTCGACAAGCAAAGCAATAACTACTTGTTGACGAGTACAGTACACTACATGTTGTATATTATCAATGTTAATGTCATTTTATTTCAGGTTTTATTTGTGTGTTAATTGTAACAGTATTTTTCTTACGTTATAGTGAAAGAAAATGTTACTTTAGTGTGACCACAAATTTTGGGTTAGAAACCCATCCCTTATTTTTCTACTTTTAAAATAATGGGAAAAATATTTTCGATTTACGTTTCTTCCATTCCCTATCCGTTTCGTAAATCGAGGGATGCCAGTACTTATACAGATATTAAAGAGTGAATAATTAGTACTAGTCGTATGCGAAATATATGTTGTAAAATCATAATCTTGAAAACTGTATTATCTGTAAATATGTCAGTATTTTATCAAAAATAGTTTTTTTTAATTGTCTGATGTTAGGTGCTTCCTGAACCTAATCTTCCTGTTTAAATACTGTACTGTTTAACTTTTTGTAATCAGATAAGCAGGCATTCAATGTTCATTAGTAATTAGTTATGGAAAGTTTAAAGTTAGACATGGTGGCGTTCAGTTTGAAGCAACAACAGATAACACAGGCCTGCGAATTAAAACTTCATAAAAGTTGTTTTGGTTTTATTAACCGATTTTCCAAAATACAGCTTCGCAGATTTCGAAAATAATATTCATTTTTGTCTATTACGTAAGGATTTTTTACAAATCGGGAAAGAAAAAAAAACACTTACTTAGATCAAAATATTATTTCGTTTACCACAATGACCATTTATATTATTACGTTTGTTAACAAAAATACAAACAAAAAACTGAAGAAAAAGAAAGAACATTGATGTCAAACGAATATGCATCCTGATTCATCCTGATTTTTATGTGTGTGAAATCTACGTGTTTTAGTCTCGAAACTATGTGCTGTGTAAAAAAAAAGTACATATGACGTTTTGTGAAAAATCTGTACGTGATGGAGAAAATTTTATATCATTTTCGGATTCAGCGTACAGGAATTATTGTAGAACATGTAAAAATTTCAAGACAATAAAACCATCTCAGACCTGTGTAATTATATACAGATGTCTACGGGTAAACAGAGACTGTAAACAATAGACAAAATCAACTTTTATTGACGCAAGAGGCATGACAATCGATATAAATTACACTTTCTTAAATTTCGAAAACACCGACACGTGCTTATAACTGCTTCTAAACTTTATTCATTTTGTAAAAAGTCTCATTATTCTTATATACTATTTAATAATTCTCTTCTTGGGACTGAGGCTATAAACACTAGAGGCCTCTAGTGTTTAAGCATCACGAGATTCTTATAGTAATAATCTTCTGTATCTCTGATTTTTTATATTTAGTTGTTTTATAATTTTCTCGCGAGACTACAAAGAGCTATCTGCGCGTGGCTGTCCATAAGTTTTAACTGATAGACTAGAAAAACGGCAGTTAATCAACAGCACTCACCGCCAACTCTTGAGCTACTCTTGTCTAACAGAATATTTAGACTTGCCACCCACAGCACTTTTTGTGGTAACACGCACCCACAGCACTTTTGCGGTAACGGGAAGCGAACCATAAATTTTTGGATATAAATTCTGGCACACTACTTACCAATTCATTCCTGGACAATATATTTTGTGAACATCTGTTTTACGCTGAAAATCGACATTAACGTTTCCACCGATATCCCTAAGGGTTTATGTCCTGCCTAATCTAGAAGATTATGAAGGTTTTGTGTTGTGGTGATTCATTAGGTCATCTATGCCCGGAGAGTAGGGGGATGGGGTAACAGGGAAGGCCATTGTGAGACGATCCTGATGAATATCTTCTATGGTTGGATGTAAACGTGTCTATATGTAACAGTATTAAGTAGCTCGTGTGGAGGGGCGGAAGAATGCCTACAAGCACGTGCTGGAATTCACTTTCATAGAATTTATGTGTGAAACAATGTGACCAGGGAATACTGAATAATAAGGTATGTTCACAAATTATTCAATGTTTGTAAAATCATTACAGATTTAGATATGTTACCATGTAAAATAGCGTTCAAAGTTTTCAGTCATAATGTTATTCTAGTTCAGCCTAAGGTATGTCTGCGTGTAGCACGTCTTTTAGTATTTGTGGAACAATTTAGCACGGTACGATATTAAAATATGTTTTTAGGTATAATACTGTTATATTTACATGTTGCAGATGTCCTAAAGATAAAATATTCGCAATACTACGGGGCTGTAGTACAGTTTCAAGCTGTACTTTTATATGTTTTCTCCTTCTTTCTTAGAACTTAGAATCAAACCCATTGTATAGTTTATTACTGACATAACGTAGCTATTATCTGGATGAAATTTACGGTGGAGATAACAAAATACAGCAACCCACATTAAGTTCGTTTTTCAATTCTTTAGGGTCACTGTTTTATTTGCATTTACATGTTTTTATATATTATACTCATATGCGAATAAGCCTCGGTTTTTAATTCTGCTGACAGGTCCTGTTGTGGATAAATATTTTTGAGTTTTGTGTGTGTTTAATATGTTATTCTCCTAAGTTTGTTTGTTTATTTGTTTTTGAATTTCGCGCAAAGCTACACGAGGGCTATCTGCGCTAGTCGTCCCTAATTTAGCAATGTAAGACTAGAGGGAAGGCAGCTAGTAATCACTACTCACCGCCAACTCTTAGGCTACTCTTTTACCAACCAATAGTGGAATTGACCGTCACATTATAACTCCCCCACGGCTGAAAGGGCGAGCATGTTTGGTGGGACGAGGATTCGAACCCGCGACCCTCAGATTGCGAGTCGAGCGCCCTAACCACCTGGCCATACCGGGTCCATTCTCTTAACACCTAAATTTTAGGTGCCGAATTTAATTTATGCTATTTTATATACCTACCTTTAAAAATATTTGTCATAAACTTTGCAAAATATTCAATTGGGTGCTTGCAAAAAATAAAAAAGCCCAGCATAAACGTTAGTATGACAAGAGGAATGTTCTCTAAAAGTTTTAGGGTTAAACCAGATCTGTTAATCACGAAAGGATTGTGTGGAAATTAACATAAAGACAGAATATCATTTGAAAATAAGCAACCAACTTAAAATATTTACCAAAGAATGTCTCATCCTCAAGAAAATGTAGATGTAGGTGCAAAAATACTCTTTTTATCAAAAATTGTAATCGAATTCTGACAGTTTTTGAAAATTCCAATTGTATACTATTGTAATGAATGTGTTTGACTCTCAGTATGACCTTTCATTTTGGGCTATATTCACCAAACGTAATCAGTTGGTCCTTGGGAGAAATTCTACCTTTGTGTCGAATTTTAACAAAATCAGATGAAAGTGCTCGAATCATACTATTCACACACACACAGAGGGTAGAAACAATACCCCCACCATTGGGTGGGAGTAATAAATTGAGTTTAACTCAAGTGATACATTCATACAAAGATACAGTTATCTCTTCTCCTATTAAGAAATATCTGCTTCCCAAAACACAGAACGAAACTTCAGGTAATAATTACTTATGCTAGTATTACAATACGGAAACTGAGGTATCTCTTTACTCATTGGGCCCAACAACACTCTACAATAAGCCAGAACTTAGGACCTAATTGATAATTGTACTTTTATTTTTAATTTTATACTTTGAAACAATAAAAACAAGCTCAATTGTTCATAAAGGACAGAGTCCTCTGTTAACAGGAAAACATGTCGAAAGAAAAAAATCCAAATGTTATCAAAATATTACTGCTGACTAAATTATGTTTAAGATTCAAACATATTTATATATATATATATCGAGAGAAATCAATGCCCTGAAATTGCCTAATGACATAAAGAAATTTATGCTTCAAAAATAATTCTATAGTTGCTCTTGACTAACACTGTCGCCATTATGCATTACACAATGGAAAACATTGCAGAACCTTTGGACTAACAGATATTCTGTGATCAAATCTTGGAACTAAGAGCTTTATATAAAAACATTCTAACCTTTTTGTTACTTTTATACCCTGTAAAAACAAAGATAAGTTTATGACTCCTAAACACGCATTTGTTGGGGAAGTGACTCAAAAAGACTGATTAACACCCTGGTAACTGAAAATTGACTGTTCAATAGGGAGATAAAAACAGTCATACAAAACCTTATACTCTGGAAATGTAATTACACACATTGCGACTGCATAGAGAAGGTGGTAAATTATAAAAACTAAATCAAATAAAAAACCTTCTCTATTTCTAAGATAACACTAACGTGGAAGGTTAAGGTTTCACTGAGAACCTAGTAAAGATTTGTTATATGATGTAGTTACCTGGTCCGTTTCTATGATAAAACTAACGTGGAAGGTTAAGGTTTCACTGAGACCCTAGTAAAGATTTGTTGTATGATGTAGCTAGCTGGTCCATTTCTAAGATAAAACTAACGTGGAAGGTTAAGGTTTCACTAAGAGCCTAGTAAAGATTTGTTATATGATGTAGTTACCTGGTCCGTTTCTAAGATAAAACTAACGTGGTAGGTTAGGGTTTCACTAAGAGCCTAGTAAAGATTTGTTATATGATGTAGCTAGCTGGTCATTTAAAAATGTTAGAAACGCTAATCTTTAAAGAGCAAATATGTTTAAGAAATGGTTTTTGC